GGACCAGTAATTTTAGGTGTTGTTGAAAAAACAAGCGGCCAACGAAAATTTTGGAGACCCATAGGTTGGGAAACACTGGTATATTATTGAATAAGAATTGACGAGAATAACTTTTAAAATTTTGTCTCACATAAAATCTTAGTAAGCTTTGAGCGTGTGTCATTAGAAACTTATCATGATTATGCCTGATTCTGTAATTGTAATATCCTGTAGTTCAGGCGAGATCACAAGGCTACAAGCTGTATGTGCATTATATTTATTCAGGCACAAAACCACTATTTTGTTCAATGCTATAAATTGTGCATTTACGATACAATCTTTGTTTGTACACTGGGTAGCGACACACCATTAGTTCTAAAGAGAACAATTTTTATGACGACGTTAGCAAAAGTAGCAAATAACTGCATTTTTATGTATTCAATATAATTATAAGCATCAGTATTCAGAAATGCGTTGTTTAAAGATTTATCTTTATTGCAGACTATTCTACAAAATTGATATCTGAACTATTCTGTTATCAAAAATTGTAGAAATCGAAGTACTTTTCAACGTTTCTATTGCTATCAATAAGATTGTGCTTTCTAGGATGGCATCACTTACATAAACACACTTTATACTTTGGAAACTTCTAACACAATGCGTTGTACATTACGACTGAACATAACAATCCTGGAGTATTACACTTTCTGCCTGTAGGTTGGGTATCGTGGATGACTACGGGCTAGATGGTACGTGATAAAAAGTAAAGGTATGCTGGGAAATCGTGATTTCAAGCCTGTCATCTCAAACGGAAGGTAAAAATAATTCAGAAGGCCATATCTGTTTAAGTTAGGAGTCCTAACGATGGATCCTATCTTCCCAATAATAAAATTTAAGTGGTGAATGCTAAGTAGGTGAATGCTAATCTGCGGACACGTCACAAAAATATCTTATCCTAAATTTGAGAGAAACTAATTACTAAACCTAGTTGAATAATAAATATCGGCGGTTGGGATTAATCATTCAAACTAATAATAATTACAAGTATCACGTCACATTTATTTCAAATTTAATAATTTTAACAACACTCCCTGGTACCCTAGCACTGATATTACATCCTTATTTAGCCATTCATATTGATTCTTTTATTACGATGACATAATTCTGCAAATTGAACTAAGCAAATCAACCTAGCAATACATATGATGGGGATATGACAAAACAAACTTATAAGGAGAGCTATGCCGGAATAAATATATGTGCACGAAGCTAAAACGTAGTAGTGCGGATATGCACATCTGCCACAGTATACTACAAGTACCCAGGGTTGCCAGCGATCAAAAAAGGCCAAATAAAGACCTAAAAAAGCCAGAAAAAGCCAACAATTTTACCAAGTACAAAATCCCCATGATTTGTCAGATTTGAAGCCCTTGGCACTGATGTCCGAATGTCTGAATGTAGAGCCATCAGTTCATTTATTGAGCCACGCAAATGTCTTTTTCCATTATTGAAAGTTGTATTTTCGGTTGCTATCATGGCGATTTCCACTTCAGCGGGATGAAGGGTTTAAAAGTAAAAGTGATTAATTGAAAGGCAGCTCCAGAATATACATTCTACAGAATCTACACAACACAGTCAAGCTGACATAAAAAAGTTGAAAAAAAAAAAATTCTACTCACACTTGTGATATACACCTGAAAAATTGTAGCTGTGTCGTTCACAGCTGAATGTATATATAACAACATATTACGTACAATGACTGGTGCTCCCGAAGTATTCGTACAAAGATGGCGCACAACCTGAACATAGTATGTGTACCAGGTTAGGGTTCAGGTTGTGCGCCATCTTGATACGAATACTTCCGGAGCACCCAATTACTATGCTTGAATTCTAACTCCGTTGAAGTTGAAAATGTATAAATTAATTAATGCTAAAATATGATTCGATAAAGCTTCATTTTTTCATTAACAGGAAAAACCGAGAATCTGATTTGAAAATATCGTTTCTTTTTACAATATTCTGCAATACTTCTGTTTGCAATATTTCTATCAAAATACTTGCAATAATCAGATACTTTACTGCAGTTTTCTTTACTATTAATGAGGTTGTTCTAAATTATGAAGGTAATATTTTCTAGGAATGTGAAAATTCTGATCTAAAGCCTCGTTTGCAGCATAAATCCCCTTCCTGGAAATATAACATTAGAAACGATATTAAAATATAATTTACCATGCTATTGCCCCACCAGTAAATTTTTAATCTGTTGTATTGTATTCCGTAAATGCTATATTCAGGTTGGTATCCAGACTTCTTTCTCCCTATCTTAGTCTAAATCAATGGTGGTGCAATAACAGGATCGTGGCAAGAATATTTACGACAACAGAGCTAAGAATTATTTTTGTGTTATTCTCATAGTTTGGGAAAGCTCAATCTTTGAGATTAATTCGGCGTGCTAAGCATAATCTAACATATTATACCTCAAAATATTCACAATCAAAGAAAACAGACCAGAAAACTAATGGTGGGGCAATAGCTGACTGATACCGAATATTCTTTGCAGAAAAGTAATAATTCTTCGATGAGAGGCATAAGAAACACTTGAATTAAACGAGCATTCGTCAACCCTAAACCGGCTTCACCTTAATATTATTTATCGAATACATTTAGTGTGAAAACCTACCGCTATCAAACTTCACTATATGTGAAATTACATGACTTGCGCTGTCTCATTGCACTGTATCGCTTCTGTTAATGAAACCGTTCGTTTCCTTTGACGACGCCATTTTATCCACGATCAGGACTGTGTCACTAGCGACACCACGCGGAAGATATATATTTCATAGCTACTCCGCTTGGGTTATGTTATCAAACTTGTTGAATCATGTTAAAATTTTAAAATGCCGAACTTTTAATAATTTTAGCTTATGGTAGTATTTAACTGAAAGGTCTAGTTTGAAGATGAAGGCGTGTAGAGCCGTAAAGATTCCGGTCTTGCCAAAACATGCAACTCATCATATATCGTTTGGTTCAATGGACTCTTGGACAGGACCTTGTTCTGAAGAAAATGCGTATAAGCTCGTCTTACAAAGTACAACATGACAAACATAATCCGTCTTGGTTTGCATTGTATTTTAAAAATATAGGGTGAATAAGCAGATGAGTGTTGATTCCACTTCGTTATAGGAAAATAGGATGCCATGGTGATTCCGTTATAAAAAAGAAACAAAACAAACACGAGTAAACAAACACTGGTAAAAATGATATTATCTGATGTCGTAACAAAAGAAGTCAAATACACTGTGATGAGACAATAGGCCAGAGAGGTAGTAGTTTATGCGTTCAATTTCAGCGAGGCGGTGTTGAAGAAATTTGTTTTAGTATAAGTAGGCTAACAGGCATCGTGCATGCACAGGATGAATGGCATGGAGAGAATTTTATGCGTGGGATGCTTAGAATGAGTGAAATATGTTTTTTGGGGAGCCACGTCACAGCGTGAATTAGCACTGCCATAGTGTGAGGTCTGTCACATTATACCGGTAGTCGTGGGGCTGAAATACGTGCTATCTTTTGGAAATCTGAAATGTAACACTACCGGTAACCGTCACCCTGTCGTAGTTTCCCACTAAAGTAGATCCAGGCTGTAGTGTGGTAGACCTCGGATTATAAGAGCATCCATGAATTTCTGTTCTCGATATGCAATAATTCCACTTAACAATAAATTCTAGAAGACTACTAGATGTTTAAAGTTGAAGGTATTCATGAAATCCGCAGTGATGGGAGTAGATATAGCTTATATATATATTATGCTTATAGATACCCTAATTTTATATTGAACTATGAACTCTTCCCTGCTGCTATCATGCATACTTCAAATTAATCGTCCGCTTACATGTATGTGCAAATATGGTGCTCCCGTAGTATGTGCACCAAGATGGCGTACACCTAAGCATAGTATGTGTAGCAGGTTAGAGTTAGGCCATAATTTATAGTTCTATTACGAGTTTGGGGACCAGCCAAGTGACTCCCGAAGTATTTGTACGCGAAATCATGGCTTAACCCTAACCTGGTACACATACTTGTGCAACGCAAATTAAATACTCTCGGAAGTAGCAGGTAATCCTGAATTAACTATTTCAACTTTACAAGGGTTAGAAAATTTGACCTATCTGCAGTTTGAATTTCAGACTTCCAGACCAGTAATATATATGTATGTCGAAATCTGCTTTTAAAACGGAAAAAGGGCGAGTTGTTTTTTAAATCTGATAGAACGTTTCTCAAACCGCCGGTATTGATGCAAATTATGCCAAGACATTTCTAATCAGATGCCATACCAGAAACAACTGTACTATGTTCTTGTGCTTAATGGTGAGTAAAGTTTTAAGCATATCTTCAGCTAGATTTTCCTAATCCGTAAACTGCTTAGTTTTGGAAGTTTCTCCTTAGCTAGAAGTTGAATTAAGTCACACAGATATCAATTACATCTATTTTATTCAAAATCAGAATCTATACTCAAATAATAATGCAAAAAAAAGAGAAATCTACGGTAAGTTACCATATAAGCCATCATGTTTCTGGTGCCGATTATTCTGTTCACGCAGAACAAAAAATACACTTTGATGACGAGCTTAATTAAATTTATATAATATTTGAATTAAATAACATAATAAATTGAATCGTAAAATTTTTTTTGAAATGTACTGAAATGTTTCATCCATTCGTAAAATTGAGAAAACTTTTTGATTACTTTTTCATTTTGTAATATCAAATTGGCGGACCAACTTTTTTTGCTAATTTTCACTGGATAGTATATGAAGGAAGTAACTGGCGTTAACTTGGTACATAATATTCGGAAATATCGGTATCAGTTATTTCTTATCTATTATGTTTAATAGTAGGTTTCACCCTAGGATGTATATATTTGTTAGTTACAAGACAATCGTACTAAGGTCGTTGCAATGATGTGACTTTTTGTTCTGTATTCATTGTTGTCCGCTTTTTGGAATTTCTTCGCTGACGTGATATCACATATGTCCGACGGCGACTGATGCGCAACAGAATCTTTCATCTGTTTCAACGTGTTCTGTCTGATTTGTCTCCGGATCAAATTTGTACAAGGAAAATGTTCTGAAAAAATATGGACAAGTTTTAACAACATTCTACCTAATTTGGAATAGACCTTTGGGCAAAAGTTCGACTCACACGAGCTTTAGAGGCAAAAAAATGTACAATTTACTCAATAGGTAGAAAAGAAACTTTTTTTCATAGAATCAACTTTCGAATTAATATTTTTGTATTGAATAGGCGATGATGAATTGAGAAGCAACAAAAATTGTTCAAAATCGGTACCAGTGACATCGTGAACAAACATAATTGAACGCTTGCTTACTTTTGCGCTTCTCACTGTAGTGTTACTAATATCTCTAGTTTTTTTTATAATAACTATATGACTTATTTATGGACACATAATAAACTACCGGTATTTTAACTATACGGAAACGGCAGTACCACATACGCTTGAGCCCACAAAGGATCTATTGGAGCAAAACAAATTAGGTGGATTCATGCACAGGGAGGAATAAAGAGTTCCAAAATAGGCAGAAGGACGAATTTGACAAATAAGTTGAGAATGTGTTTTGTATGAGGTACTGCGTTGAAATCTTGCCCCTATCCGGGCCCCTTCATATTTAGCCCCACCCCCCCCCCCCCCCCCCCCCTTCCAATGCATGAAAATAATAATAGGACTGTCTAATTTATTTCATGGCTTAATCCAAAACTTCAATTACCATTAACAACGCGCTGAATAAGAAAATCGTGGCATAGTATTTAAGCCTGAAAATATACTTATTCTAGCATTGACTAAAGGATCTTCATTGGCGGCATCATGAAATTAACCCAAACATATCTGTGATGTATACTTACCTTTCCGCAGCTATGATAAAATGTATTTCATTGTTAAGAGCAACAATATGCCTGAAGCCCCAACCAGAATCCGGTAACTGATTTTTTAGAGATATTTGCTGCCATGAATTGTTGTTTATATCATAGCAAAGAAGCACTCGTCCATCTGCAAAGTATATACATTTTGTGAATCTGTGCACGGCCAAGCTTTTTAGCTTAAATTTATACATCCCGAGCGTTTATACAGCAGCGCTACAATGACCTAGTCATTTATCCTAATAATATGGCAGTGGCGCAGAGAAAAATTAGATTGGTGAAGTGAAGTTTACTGGCATGTAGAACAATAAATCTTAAACCACAAAATAACAACCAACAAATCGTTCAATATGCTTTGGTATTGTACAAGTACAACATCTCGCCTACTGCAGTATACTATTCCACATATGTATACATTATTTACACGATGCTTATTCACGTCTTTCGTTCCGAACAAGACACTGATATTTCACGATATGTAAAGAGTTACTTTTATTTGCAGGGACTGGTGTCTTCCTGTTCGGCGTTGTTTTACCAATTTATTACCCCCAGGTGGGATAGGACCTGGAATTGTAATCTGCGATGACAAGACAGTAAGTTTGTCCAACGATTCAAGCCACCGCATATGGCTAAATAGTTAGGTCATAGCTGCGACCTGATTATACACACATTACAACTCTATGCTTAATTTGGTTTTGTACAGAACAGAATGGCGTGGATCATCGTGCTAAGTGTGGGCCGTAGTTATTTGTGACAGGATTATTGGACTCATCGCCACCGCTAGTCGGTTACGGCTCCTTCATCAAGTACATGCGCCTGAAACAAATAACTGGCTAACTGATCCCAAACCCGGCATTGCCATATCACCGGACGAAATGCCGTGGTTAGCCATATGATTAAGTCTTCTAATTTGTTTTCCTCTCTTATAGATAAATCCTATACTAAGTATTCATTTAATACCAGATAATTTATATTGACCACATGAGTGATGTTCATTTTTCAGTTTGATTTGAATAAATATCGTACACTGGATGTATTCTTTTTAAGGCCCGGCCACTTGTGCGGAAATAAAATCTTACTCCAGCCTCATACCTACAACATAAATGAAATCGTTTGACTGTGCGGCTGATGCATATTCCATGTCTACAGGCATCGGCGCAGTGAAATCCCATTTTGAACTTTTAGGATCGAATACTTCGCCACTTTCGATACTGTAACCAGATTCATCAAATCCAGCGAAACAATACAAACGTCCTAAAATTTAAATTTTATAAATTTCAATCCATGTATGTATCGGCTACACAGCGGTTCCCAAACTATGGGTCGCAAAAGAAATCTTAGTGGGTCGTGAAAAGATGTAAAAAGCTTTGATTAATTATACTGGTTATTAGGATCGGTGGCAACTCGAATACGTAAATCTTCAAAAAAAAAAAAAAATAGATTGAATTACGATCTTCTCAAAGGAACAAAAATTTGCTACACAAAGAATGACCATGTGGCTTTTATACGCATAGCAGTTTTGTACACTATACAGCACTTCTTACCGTGTTTCCCCGAAATTTAGACAGGATTTATGTTTATTTTCTTTTGAAGAATAACACTATGCTTTTTTGGAAGAGGTCTTTTGTGTTCATTTATCAAAAATGAAATCACATTATAGAAAGTCACGAGATTTAAAAAAAAAATTATATAAAAACCGACATTCATCGTTTTTATTTGTATTTCCTATACAAAAATCAAATATCATAATTGTAATTGTGACATACCCCAGGTCATTGAACCTTTCCTTTCCCACACAATTTAAATATATTTTAAGGGTAGGGTTTAATTAAAATCATTTTTAAAATTCAAATTAGGTCTTATTTTCGGGCCAGGTCTTATTTTCGAGGAAACATGGTAGTTTTGCGATGAGTAGCCATTGCTGTGTTCTGTGTTATTTCATAAAAAAAAATTAAAGTTAAATGGGTCGCCGTAAACTGTGGTAATAAATAGTGGGTCCCAACTCCCAACTATAAAAAGTTTAGGAACCGCTACATGCAATATAAATGAGAGAAATGAACAAATATTTATACAGCCCACCAAATACTCTAAAAACTTGTTATATATGGGCGCACTGCATACAATGGTGTGGCAATGTTTGGATATATATGTATTTATATATCGTATTTCCCGGCGAATAAGTCGCCTTTCTAAACCCATTTTATTCCTCGCTTTTAGGCGAGTATGATCATTCTTTGGTGTCGCCTTATTATTAAATCCGGACAATAAAATACCTTCGGCGATGGCATCTCCCACGTCCTCATAAATCGACATTCTCGTGAATAACGAATTTTAATGCTGTGATTATCATATATATATATATTTGAAGTTGTCGCATTTGTGTGGCTATTACCGATACACGTGGGATTGCAATTTGTGAAAATCGTCAATTGTTTTGCTCAGCGTGATGTCTTCTTATTTGAGCCGTAAACATCTTTCGGGTCTGGTGAAGTACACGCCGTCAAGTACTTCTACCGGGCGTAGCATAACGATTTTTGCATACAATATTCCTAACCCTCACCTGAGTACGTCACCCAAAAATTACATCACTGCGACGTCACAATCGCGACATAGAGCTTGCTAAATTATAACTACAATCGTCCTAAATAGCATCTGTGCCGACTATAATGAACTCACTAACCCCAGCGATCTCTCTCTTATCGTTATCGTTACGGCGAGAAAACGAGAGAAGTAGCTTGCGCAATTTCGGTTGATTGTCTGCGCGACCACACGTTTACTTTGGAGGGCCTTATTACGTCACTGTGACTACGCAGTGATGTAATTTTTGGATGTCAGGTGAGGGTTAGGAATGACATATGCAAAAATTGTTGAGCTAGGCCAATTAGAAGTGCTTGCGGCGTGTACTTCACGAGGCCCCTTCTTTCATTTCAGCATATATTCTCCCTAAGTCACAATTTGCAGCGAGGACAACGATAATTACTTTATTACTCTCAAGCAAAGCAGCCATGGCACTTGTGTTGTGAGATACGAGTTATCACATAATCATGTGTGACAATAGGCTTAGATAAATAAGGAGTGAATACCTGACCCAAATTTTCATGATTTAAAAGCGGCATTATAAAAGACTAAAAATAAAACGGAAACACCATTTAAGTATAATTTCAGAATGCCCTGTGACAGATTAAGGATGATTTTTAAACATTGCAAATCACAAAAACATTTTTTGTTTTACAATTACCGACAGGGCCAGACGCGACTATGCTATGTGTATAATACCGTAATTAAGGTAATGTAAAGTATATTTAATTCATTTTTTGACATAGATTTTACTCGATGGGATATTATCGCTGACTTAGGGGTTTTCCCTACCGTAAAACCCTCGAAAACAACATATAATCCCAATTAAATCAATGAAGCAACACATTTCGTTTTGTGGAGATTTCGAGTTAATGAATATGTATGTTTCATATAAACACTTTATATGTGTATTTATTTACAAAAACTAAATGTAATCAGGTTTGTCTCACATTATTATGTCCGCAGATTGCCGTGTTATTTTAGATCGGTAATGTTCTTGGATGGCGGACGCGATCACGAGTTGAACACAATTAGCTTGAAATTGAAAGACAGTTTGAATTCCCGAAGTTGTTATGGATTTAATATCACGCTACAAGAAAAAGGCTATTTGTTATCATTATAGGCTATTTTAACCAATGATTTAAGATTCCCATGTTGATGCGATTTTACTACCCCGACTCATTGGCCGGTCATATGCAAAAACCCATTTTTTCAGGCTTGAAAATGGGCCTCGTCTTATTCGCCGGGAAATACGGTATATAAATATTTAGATACGGTCTTGAATAAAAAGTATGCGAACATATGCGAGAAAAATGAATCGTTATATGGTTTGAAATGAAAGCAATCTGGAATTTAGTTAACGTGTTAATATTTACACGAGTTCGAAATAGCATTTTCATTGAAATCTAGTGCTTGGTAGAATTTTCTATATTGTTATCATGCATTATCAGGGTATGAGCGAGTGGATACATTTATTTCTTAGCTCAGTCGATAGGTACATTCGGTTATTTTGGGATACTAAATAATACTCCGCTCCCAGGTCACATTGCTGTTATTGAGTTATAATTTGCTCGCTATTATCTATAATCTATATGATATAATATATATAGAGATCTCAATCGAGAGAGACAAATGAAATAATGACTCACGAAGAGTAATGATCTTTGTGGCAGGGTTATCAGCGGGTCAATTTGAAGAAAGACTGAAACCTCACCAAAACAGTAATTCTCTGATGTATTTACGTATTTACACATGGGATACAAAGATTGTATTTACGTATTTCTGATGTATTTACACATGGGATACAAAGAATGTATATCCTATTATCACTTTGTAACTGACATTGGCGACGTCTATTCACGGTTTAAAGCATTATTTACCTTTAGCTGAAACAACTGCGGGTCCGCCTCTTCCTATTTTCATGCTTTTCAACTTTTGCCATTCGTTATTCGTTGGATTGTATCTTGCGACTGAGCGACTGTGAGATCCACATTTACCACACACGTAGATGCATCCTGAATTGTTCCCTAAAAATATGTGAATCACAATATTATCGGTGCTCCTTAAGTATTCGTACCAAGATGGCGCACGCACAACCTGAACATAGCATTTGTACCAGGGTTGTTCAAGTTATGCGTCATCTTGGTACGAATACTTCCGGAGCGACTAATTTTTATTTATTCTATTATTTATTCGAAGCCTTGGTTGAGTTTTGATGTTTTATTCCAACGGTTTTAGTTTATATAGGGTTCGGAAATTTGGTATTCATAGACAAAATATCACCTCACATATTGGTATTGGTATTGGTATTGATTTGCTTGCGTTTGTGAATAAGAAATTTATTTAATTTTTCAAATGAATGTTTTGTTAACTATAATGTAAATTAAAAGGTGTATAATTTTTTTCAATGTATTTTAACCCTTCTGATATTTTCAAATCGTCATGTTATGCAAATTTACCTTGCTGCTAGGTGTCGAAATCTGTCATCCTTCGGAGTCATAAGTTCGCAATAAAGGTATTTTATTTTAAAGCTATTTTTTCTACAACATTTTGCTTCCGACAATTAGGTCATAAATATCGCACATTTGAGTGTTAGACAAGATGATTGATTATGTATGTGAGTTTTAGCACATTCTTAAATTGGTGAGTTGTGAAACGTATATCATCATATGCCCCATATCCCATCTTTGAATAAAAATGTTGAAAAATACAGGCAATAGTCTCGCAAAGTTTATGATAATTGCTCAATTCAATTAAAGTCTTGCTGACACGGTGTCATTTTTTGACCTATTCAGCAAATTTATGACTTTGGAATCGTGGAAAATGAATAATGCAAGAAATGTTTTGACATTCATCATTTGGTGTTGTTTTGTCGCTAAAACGAGAGTATCTTGTATAAAATTCAGAATATTTTGGAGCGTTGTGTACCATTGAAAATAACAATAATGCTATCAATATTATCCGAAACTCTTATCTTTAGAGGACGCACATAAATGAGGAGAGATTTACCATTCATTGCAACTGCGGATGGCGAATATCCGTGATCGCATATCATGTCCGACAATCTTTTCCATTTCGGTTCAGGATCAGCGTATTTTGTACGATGAACTTCGCCATTTTCCATCAGTACATAGAGATAATCGTTCAATGCCACAATAGAATATAAGATGTTGAGGAGACAGAATATATTCTAGAAAGAAAAAGAATTTGAGAATATTTGCGATACAATCGGTAGCATTAGTCTTCTTCCTTTATCTTACCTTCCATTCATGCCATTCCTTTGTTGCTGGTTTGTAAAAGCGGAAATTGTCACCGACAGACAAGATAATTACATTGTTATCGTTTGAATTGAAGACTTTTGTCGCTTCTGTAATAGACAAATATTTAAAGTGATTAACTCTTTAAATGAAATTGCCAAGAAAAACTATTTAAAAAACAGGATGGACCAAAATAGGTCAACAGTTATTATTAAATTAATAATATGCATAAATTCTTTACTCTGCTTTATATTTACCACCCGCGTATACCGCGCACCATTAATTTTTGATGGGAAATCAGTACAAAGTTATGCACGTTATACTCGAGTAAATACGGTATATTAAACCATCTAGGAATATATATTTTGAAATTGCTAATATTCGAAGATTATTACTCACCTTTTTTTGATTTTTTTTTGCGTGACGATGGTTTCAGTCTGGTTACCCCATGAACCCCGCTTCCTAATTCTTTACTTTCAAGACTCATATTTTCCAAATTCATTTTTGTTGAAACGGGCGAATAGCCTTTGAACACATACAACTTGATTTAGTGATTCTACAACCAATAAAGTCAGAGTGTACCGAGGCATATAATATTACATAATCTGCAGGAATACAGATGATAATATAGATTGATATTGGCTTGATAAGTATTAACATGGCATTTAAATTCTATACCAAAATCGTGAACATCTATATACAACACTTTACTCGTGGCTTTACAGATTATGATATGACCGACGTGGCAAATATTTAATGTTTAAAACGCAAGAAAATATTTGCCTATCCGGCACTAGACATTATTCTGCTAAACTAGAAAAATGTATTCACCTTCCCCTGATCTTCGGAGCATTTCATCGGCCAAAAGTTGGTCAGCCGTTGGGCGTTTTTTCGGATCAAATTGCAACATCTTTTCAATCAAATTAATTGCTCTGGTTTTGTCGCTGAGAAGCAGATGGCTGAGATCACGATTTTGGTTCTTCTTGATGTTCATGTTCCAACCATCTGGATCTTGACCAAATGGATGTTTTCCATCACTCCATACCGCGTATATCACGAGACCCATTGAATACGTATCGGATTTTGTAGAAATCACGTCGTCGTTATAGGTTTCCGGAGCTCTGTAGCCATCAGTACCAGCACGCGTGATACTTTGGGCAGTGTATGAACGGCCTTTGCGAAGCTCTTTAGACAGCCCGAAATCAGATATTTTGAGAGCCTTTTTATCAAGCGACAACAGGATATTGTCGGGCTTTAAATCGCGATGAATGACGCTATTTTGGTGAATAAACTTTAAACCTTGGAGTAACTGCTGCGCAAATAATATGCCCAGGTTGTCGTCGAAGGGGACCCGCAATTTTTCCTTGTTTTTTAAAAAATCGGTTAGATTTCCTTCGTGACAAAGTTCCATAACAATGAACATTTTTTTAGTGAACGCACCATCGTGATACACGTCGGAATGGATGATGGAGACAACATTTTGGTGAAGAGCCAGCTTCAGAAGAACCTTGGCCTCCTGCAGGTTACGATCGTTGAATTCGAGGAATTTGATCGCCACGGGTCTGGGACCAGTTACCTCGCTCAGCTGCTCTCCACGATAAACATGTTTTCTTCCACACAATGGCTGATTACGGAACGCTCTATATGCTCCGCCGACATTGACATAATCTAACAAACCGAAAAATAGTTGGGCCATGCGATAAGATAATCTATTTCCTAATTGGGTTACGCACATATGGTAATTATTGCTGAAAGATAGTATTGAAAATGTCCAAGTGTATTTGTGGTAACACGTTGCCATCTGTTTATTAGGCTAATACTTTATGTAGCGAAATAGGCAAAACAATGCCCGTTTTCTAGGCGTTTCATCTCATCAACTAGCCCCAAATCGGGGGTCTGTAATAATAATGTCACTACATGAAAAAGTCATGTAAGAAAGTGACAATTTGAATATGGCCGAGCTTGAGGATAACGACGAGTTCAATAGAAATATAGAAGATCCAGAATCAGATTGATACATATTCTGTAGTGTAAATACAGTATAATAGTCGTTTATAGTATACAATTGAACACATGCGGTACACACGCATCAACTTGCTATTCGCGATGATTCGAAGGAAAAGCATGTCAGCACTGAAGCAAGTTTTACATAGTGAGGATACCCAATTTTAGTGCTATTTTAAGTCGTGGCACAGGGAAAGATGGGATAATCACGTTGCTAGATAGAATAGTATCCAAATTGAGGATTTATCGCCTTTAAGATATAAAGGGACTAATTGACATGCCAAATGCAGATATAATAGCATTAACTGATTCTAAATGCAAACATGCAAAGGAACTAGAAGAATTATCACATCCCTCATATCTAGTGCCAAAGAACGACTTAGAACCTGGATTCATTTAACAAGGAATAGAAAAATGTTACTTTTAAATTATCTCAATCTGATAACTTGAGTGCAGGTGCAATTGAATCATTTATGCCACGTATTAAAAATGTCACCTGGATAACCCTGAGTTGTTAGCGCCCATAGATTCTGTGAACATGTGTAGCTGATTACCCGAAGTGAGAAACATCTGAACGGAGACAAGGCAGCGCTTTGTGACGTAGATGGCATGAAAAACTGATATGCCATTCTGCGCGACTGGGCCGTCAACAAACTCGTCTAACTCTAATTCCGAATAGGCGATAGATTTTGAGAAATATATTGATATTGTAGTTAAAGGCCGCCGAGAATAAAAGAAAGTAGAATTTAAAAACTCAGAACTATCACTGCTGTCCAGATTTAAACGCGACTTGTTTTATGTTTCGGAAAATATCGGCCATCTATGTTGAATATCCTGAGGCCATAATTTGGCATATACAGTAAAAGCTTGAAGAAATACAGTGGCTCTGGAATTGAAGGTGGAACCATCCCGATTTCAAACCAGCTCTCATTTGGCCCTTAATTCTTACAGGCTAACGTTAGGATTGCATTTCATATAGGAATTGAGTCTGTATTATTTTTAATTTTTCGATATTAAATGCTTTTTAGATCATGTTTTTAAAACTAACTGTAACTTTTTTTTTTTGTAATGTGACTCAAACATTTCATACTGTATTGTTACGTTACTATGACTGTGTTGTCATAGTTGGCATAGCACTTGTCCGAACAATCAATACCATTGCGACTTTACGAACTGAAGTAAGTGAATCTTCTATGGCAGACACCCAGTTCTACAATTGCTGCCAAATTATGATTCTTTGGGCAATACTATGTTTGGGTGAAATTTGCCGTATGACAAAGAAGAAAAAGCTCTGATAAAGAATAATTCGAGGTGACCATCAAAACTCCTGTGCCTAGACTAAAGTACCGGCTATTACCGGTAGACTAAAATGCATGTTACTATGTGTGGAATATGCAGAACACGACATTTTTGAGACATCGCGTCGAAATCATAGTAAAAGGTAAGTAAATATGTAGTTTTCACGTCTAATTACAATAACAATTAGAACTCGATACTCTATCGACAAATACGCGTTCAGTTAGTAAACAAACTAGACTTAGAGTACATTAAACTGATAAGTGGATATCAATCATCCAATAGAAACATGAAATCGTACCTTGTACATTGGTTGATCGGGTACTGATTAATATATCGACAAATACGCATTTAGTATGTAAGCATTTACTTTGCTGGCTAAAACAAAATATAGTTATAACTCAGACTATTCATTGAATGACAATTCAATATCAATCATTTTAATATTAGCATGGAATTGTATAACGTCCATCAATTCCAGCAAAAACTTCTGACAGTGCGATTGACCTGTTTATGTAAACGCAGTAGATTTTTCGAATGTGTGTCACGATGTTGGGATGACTCACCGTTGTCAATTATATAATTTTTATTTAAATTTGAGATGTTATATTACTTTCAATTTGCATTAAATTGCCTTGCTGGACTAATATGTCATTCATTATATTAACCTGCGTTTGTCTTAGACCGTGTGACCTCCACGCATAAACTAGAGTACTTAAATTACACTTGTTAATCACAACTACAATTACTCTGCCGAGAAATTTCAGCTAGGTTTAAGTATCTTTTTTATCCAAGTCTAATGATACGAACCCACACAGATACAGAATTACTATACCTTCGTTCGAATCGCTGCTGCCAGTCGTGTATTCATGAACAAGGGCTCGTATCTTTGTAACTGTAGCCGCAGAACCTAAGTATCATGTCCCAAATGTTACATATATATACGCGTTATACTGTGAGGAAATTGATTTAATCGGAGTACTCCTTACGACAGAAATTGTTTTCTCTTTTTTTTACTGAAATTGCCTGTTACGACTAGACCAGTGGTTCTCAACCTGTGGTACGCGTACCACTAGTGGTACGCGGGAGCTTTTTAAGTGGTACGCGAGCAGATTTGAATTATTGCAACAATTAACCTTTCAGTTGGTTAAAATATGCCAGCAACGCTTTATCTTCCTTACTGTATGTATTCGCTGAACAGCGTTTACGGATGTTTCCCCAAGCATCAGTTTCCTTGTAACTATAACCAATAATAAGGAGTCAATAATAACGCAACACGTAACAGTTGCAATTTCTGCACCCAGCCGCTCATACACTTTTGTCGCTCAAACAGATATTTAAGCATGGTTGCAAACATTAGCTGGATTTTGTAGTTTTGAGAGATATTTGTTAGTTTTCAGTTGTGTTTCAAGAAATTAATTGTGCATTAATCAACTTAATTATCATTATGTCTTCCGCGGAGCTTCACTTTAGTTGCAGTAATCAAAATTGAATCTCGCAAATGCTGCGAAGTACAAGGCTAAACTTAGATATATCAGTATCCGCAAACGGCACATGGTTGATTCATTTCAGTAAAAATGATGGTGTCAAGCACGTAAACCAGTTTATAGGCGCCTACAATCAAAACACTCTCAGAATAAGCATGAAGTTTGCAATAGTAAAGTATAGGGGTAATTATTCCGGGGTCAATAGTCGGGGAAACGTCCCCAGCTCTGGTGCGCTATCAGTTCTTGTTTTTAGAGATCGCCGTCGCCCGCTATTGCCCACCTTAAATGAAGCGATATGGGCATGTTTTTGTCCGTTTTGCGTGTTACGCAACAAAAGATGTAGTGCCACATTATAAAATACTTTCATATCGCGTTTCTTGTGTCTTTTTCTCCACGCCAAAAGACGGAGCTCTGTCGGTGGTACGCGGCCATAGTAAAAAACAGTAAAGTGGTACGCGGTCGGTAAAAGGTTGAGAACCACTGGACTAGACACACCGGCGGGATTCTTTTGAATGGAAGAGAGGTACCACGAGTTATAGGTTATGTGGGAAGTGATAGTGAAATGCTAAAATATTCACTTTATTTTCATTTTGTTTCAAGAAAATGCAATCGAACCATTTTATAATCTAGATCGAGATATTATCTTTAAGCGAGAAAAATGATTTGCTATTTAAATATCACAATTAAAGAATAACCTCACCTGAATTTTGCTGCCACTTCAATAACATTTGCATTTTTTGCTCTTCAACCGATTCTCTGTGGTCTTCGACAATGTCATCAATCTCGTGTTGATCCAAACACAGCCCAGCCCTGGAACGAGCGAATCTTTTAAAGATGACGATTTTAGGAAAAGCTGGGACGATATCTTCCTGGAATACGTCTTCGAGGCGCTCTGAATATAAGGACTTGTATATTTATAATTTTTCCAATATACTATACGTTTGGATTCTATGGTTTGAATCGATATTTGAATTTTATTTGCAGGAAAACCTTTAATACTCTTTCCACAATTGGCTTGACATGTAATTCTGAGCGGAATAGGCATAGAAGGATCAAAATCTATCCGCTAATGGATGGCGACTTGAAGTAATAATATCCCTTAAACTAGAATTGATGAGGAAGCACTGAATTACATAATTAGTTCACAGCTTACCTGACGGATATTTTTTTGCCATTCTAGTCGCTTTCGTTATTCAAATTCAACGCAGTTAGTAAGAAAGAAAGTGAAAAATTTAAAGTCTGAGAAAACAACAACAAATAGATATTATACAACTAAACAACCGAATTATGGCAGGTTTTTAAAGCTTTCAGCACTAACCTAATATGTTGGCACGACCTCAAATATTTTCATTTTCCATATTGAGAGTATAATGATTTTGTGCTCAACCTGTCACTTTGTGCTTATAAAAATGTGAGTTTCGAATAAGCAATAAAGAAAACATTTTTATGCGGTATTCCGCCGTGGTATACATACAAATGTTTATTTGAAGTGTAGAATACCCTATTATAAATTATCAGTATCTACAGAATATCCGAAATAATATTGAAAGATTAATAACATTAATGGCAAAAATCCTACGATTTACAGCGGATCAGCTATAGGCTAGCTCAGCACATAATAGCTGCGCATTTTCATGCAGTTCATTTGAAAGTAACTTTTGTTTTGCATTATTTAAAAGTAATTTTTGTCCTGTCTGCTCACTGGAAGTATCAAATCCACTATGGCGACTATGCCTTGATACTATCGAGACAAGCGAGAAAGTATTTGATATTGATTTATTACTTCGAGCAAAGACGAGTAAATTTATTGTTTAACTCAGTGGGTAATTTTCAATTAATAATTCTGCAACTATCTGAGGACTTAAGAGACTGAGATACAGTAAGTGGATTTTCACAGTTTGTAATGGTTGATTTAGATTTAACGCGTGAACAACCGCATTGCCGCCATATTCCGAATTTTTTCATTATTTTCCGTTTGGGTATGTGACATCATCATCCTTTTTGAATGCGCTAAAATAGATTCTAATATTGTGGTATGTAACCGACACACAGATACCCTTCTACCCATTTATTGTGTCTCAAATCGTGAAAATTTTTGCCGCGTCTCGAGTCAATTAATATAGAAATTTACATCAAGTATCAGTTATCAGTACGTGTATATGTGTGCATAACATTATTTTTTGAATCTAATCATTTTCGGATATTGTTGATGTGGACAAAACTATTTGTTCATCTCTACCTGTAGTACTAATGCGATTGGGCAATTTCATTCCAGCAGTTCAAACTATTATAGTTCACAGCCAGACTTGTGATATATCTTGAAGATAAAGTGTTTGCTAGTTATGGGCGCAAACTAGGCCACGGGGAGACAAGTTACACATAACAACAAGTAGTATTCTATATTACGAAGCCATCGCAAGATGGTTTTTCGTGTGGGGCAAGGTTTTTGGACCAAGGGCCGAAAATGTTGCCCACCTAAACAGGCCGTCCATGCTAGTCTAACGTAAAACGTTACATTTTATAAACAATATTTACAAAGTAGCCGTAGTTTGCCCATGTAAGGTTTAGGACCACCAAGTAGTTTAATTTATACAATAGGCCGTTGGTGTTTTGCGATTACGCGGTCTTGACGCCCTTCCTTTTTCCCGCGATAAATTAAAATATATCGCCTACGAACTCACTGCGGGAATTCAGCGTCTAACTGTAACAAAATGGCGGAAATGTTGAGCTTTCACAGGAGTCTATGAGCAATGAGATTAGCAATAAATAACCATTTTAACGCATCCTTACAAAAGTAAAATATGTTAGATTTTACCTCCAGATAGCCGACCTATTTTGCGACTGCGAAGAGATTCTCATAATTTTTTGATGGCAAAGTGATTATTTCACTAAATTTTAAATGTTTCGAGAAAGTTTAGATGCCCCCATTACGCTCGTAATTTTGAGCACAAAATTATTTTGCGTGAATATTTATTGGTATTTGCAATTGAAAAAGAGATTCTCATAATTTTTTGATGGCAAAGTGAATATTTCACTAAATTTTAAATGTTTCGAGAAAGTTGAGATGCCCCCATTACGCTCGTAATTTTGAGCACTGAATATTAAACATAGCTTGAGGGTTTGAAACGCAAATTGCCTCTTTGCAAATTAATTTACCATCCCCTTTTGCAAAGTTTGTATCGATATTGGACATTTTGAAGTTTGAAGAACTACTAAAACCTACTGTCTAGGTACGTACTGTGCGTTTTAGTTTGTCTATAAGATTTGAAGTAAATTTGAGCAGCTAACTGAGTCCAAGAATAAATAAATATAAAAATATAGCCGTGTAAATTAGTAAACTTGAATATTAAAAACAAGCACTAAATAGTCCAAATTGTAATGATCTTATTAACTCTGCTCATTTTTTGAAGGTGTTACCCTGCTTTTTCCAATACTCGGAGAGATCACAATATTGACTTATCAATTGCATACAGACCTCAGACTTTGTTTATATTGCCATTAATTAGAACATTTAAAGTATACTGTAATAATCAGAAGCTGAACAGTACAATATTAAACATTGAATTGCCTTCTTTGCTTCGAAATTAGAAAAAAAAAAATTCATTTTTTACTGTGCGATCTCATAGATAGAGAGTCAAAGAGTATCCATTCGATAAGGTGTATGTGTTTTGGAATCCGTTTGGGAAAGCTTCCTAATCTTGTGATCTGATGCGTTATTGGCACCACCTATTTTCCAGACAATTTCCACCAGATATTAAGATCGTCAAATGATGAATTTTAAATAAATTAAAACGGTCGAGATTATAGATATTTATACTAATTTTACCATCTAAAATACTCGACTACTTCAGAAAAGATAAACGAATGTTGTTAAAATTAAAAACTTTGGTTTTCCAAATCAAATTTAGCACCTAAGCAGAATACCGATTACAGGGCATAAATATTTGACAAACCACAATCACTCTGCCCATTTACAAGTTGGCTAAAATAGCTAACCAATCACCTATTCCAATTAAATGTGCTCGAGTGGAAGTGAAAGCGATAACCATGGGGCAGTTATGTGGAACAACATGCGACCGCAGTTCAATATAATTATGAAGCATTTTCAACTTTGAAATATGGGGATCAATTGTAGTTGTTTAGCATCAACGCCTATACAAGCCCGGATTTAAAGCCTTTAGGCCGCAAAAAATACAATAACAAAAGATAATTTTATGATCCAACATTTTCTTGAAGATTTTTCTATTCTGGCTAATATTTACGCCCCACTTCGTTATGCTGTAAATATAGCCCATTAGGCACTTCTAAAATGTTGAAAATTGTCTAATACTAGTTTTTTACTAAATCAGTGGTGCACAAAATAGTCACGGGGTGCAAGAATTGTAGCCAATGTACAGTGATGGAAATTGAAGCGGCTATGACTAGCAACTAGAAGTGACACACTTGCACGGATTTTAATCGGTTACGTAAGTATATTCCCCGGCCGTACCATAACAAACCCTCAATTGACCGTACTGCCAAGCCTGGCCATGATCACTCAAACCGGACTCGGTATAATTTACGAGCAGTAATCGTTCCAATGTATGTTAGTTTGACTTTCTAACGAGATAAGCGGGCAAACATCTATATATTGTTTTATTAGTGCAAAAAATGCGAGTAAATTTATCGCGAATCAAAACGTGTTTAGAAGGTTAGAAACATGTAATTTTTACTTTTTCATTTCCATTCTTAAAAAAATGAATTACATTTGATACCTTATTATGTACAGACGTTGAAAATAGATACGAATGTTAAAATTGCTGATGACGAGTCTGATGCACATTAGGGTGGTCCATTGATTAAATTTCAATTAATAATTCTGTTAACGTTCTAAAGTTTTGGAGCACTTGTATGCATTTAGTAAATGCGCGTAAAAGATACAACGTACACGTGGGCACTTTCTACTCATTTCTTATTTCTCGGATCGCAATGACATTTTAAGGCCCCTTGTCTTCTGTCACTGTTCTAAAATTACATCGTATGTATCTATTTACTACATATAAAACTGAAATTATGATTTGGATATTGTTAACTTCATAGTGAACAAAACTACTTCGTGGCTATAAGGAATACCAATGCGATTGATCAATTTCATACCATACATCCGCACCCATGAATATTCGCAGCCGTTCACATTTACACCATGGACACTAGTCTTTGATCTAAATAGGGTTCCATTGCCATTCGTGACAAAAGACAGACATAATATTATACCTGATAACGAATACGAACCCATTGCTGACTCACTCGCGATTTTTTTAGATTTCGAAACATTAACGTCAAGATTTCAAAAATACTTAAACATGTGAAAAACAACTGGCAGCGATAGCGGCACCACTAGGACGTAACAATTTCAAGTGAGTACATGTTGCTCGAGATATATCTTTGTTATCCACTGGTATTGTAAGGATGTCCGCTCGAGAAAATATACATGGTCGCAAATGTTCGTCGATGCGAATGTACGTGGGTGTAAAGGATAATGATCGCATACCAGCGGTTTCGAAAGTCTATTGGTGCAATTTTACATGAGCACAAACGTCCATGGGTGCAAATGCTAATGGACACGGGTTCAAATGTATGCAGGTGCAATCAATATACAAACGCTAAAATCTGTCGGTACAAAAATATGCGGGAGCATATGTCTTGGGTACAAATGTGCTGTCACCGCAATTCAAAGTAGTATAGTTTAACATGCCTGCGTGTTACACTTACAGTAATATCAACTTGGATGGCGCAGGCAACAGTTATGTGGAACAACATTCTAACGGGGTTCAATGTTTAATGGAGCAATTTCCAACGTGGTAAAATGAAGAGAGTTTTTTCATTACCACCAATCAGTGTTCGACGTAAAGGCACAAACAGGTCCATACATATAGAATTTAGTTTACGAAAGTTACAATTGTTCTAACAAAAATATTTTGTAAAATGCACTCTACTGGCACAAAAAAAGATTTGATTATAACGTAATTTTCTGATAAAACGTTGTCAAGCATTACCGGAAGGAAATCTGAATCACTAGGCCAGTCTTAAATCGCAAAACCAGCAATTTAAATTTGGATCGGGTATGGGCCAGTGACTAGGGGAGTGACGCATAGGGATTCGTGGGATTGAGGCATTTACGCGCAGTTTGATTCGGATATGTTTGTAGACCAAATCCTAGCTAGGACCTGCCAAACCTGTCTGTGGTCAC